CCCTGCTTTACAGAGCCACTGCTCCCCAGGGCAGCCTGCAGAATTGTAATTCTTTGATTCAACTTGACTGAATAGTTCTGCATGTTTTGTTCGCAGTACTCACTTCCTCACCTTGTATGTTTTAATAGCAACTGTTGCTGGTCTGTCTTCCAACTGAACTGTTGTAGAATAATTAAAACCTCCCTTTCTTGCATGTATTTGAGTCTAGTTTCCAGAGACTGTTTTGTGTCTGGCAGTACCTCCAGATACAGGCTTCCAAAATAGTTGCTGTGGAGGTTTTCTGGTGATCTGCTCCTGTATCAACATGATTGGCATCTTTAGAAGCCTATGTCAGTGAGGACTTAAAAGTTTATCTCCTGTCTGCTAGCGATTGTGCTCAAAGGTTTTAGAACAGTCCTTCCCACAGGAAGACAGTTGCATAGTGTCCATATCCCTGCTTCTTTCTAACTTGGATGAAGTAATTTCTTTTTTGGAATTCATCTTCAATCATCATTTTTTTTTTTTTTCCCAGAGAAAGCTTGATATGGAAAGTAGTGCAAGGTAAAGGTTTGAAATTTGAACTACGATAGAACTAAAACATTTAAAATGATATCTAAACTTTTGGGTAATCTCTAGGGACTGCTTTACAAGGAAATCTTGTTCTGTGCAAGGAAAAACACTTCAGCTAAAATAATGATTAAATATGATGCTTCTGTCTGAAAAAGGGTTTGAGAACATTATAGAATACAAGAAGCTATTTTTAGGGCACAGATGTACATTTTTCAGTAACTCATGATACTTCTCACAAGCATATATTCATAAGGGGAACCTTACTGTCTACTTAGTCAGGAGCTCTAGACAGTGGTCTGCAGGATCTAACTTCTTCAAAGCCAGTGTCATGTGTGACTTGCCTCTCAGAAATGGGAGACCTTCTTTCTTTCTCCAGCTTCCAAGATTACCAAATAGGTAGTTGAAGAAAGGCACGAAGCCCTGCTGAGATCTGATGTCAGCAATTAGCCTTCTTGGAGACAGATGGTAAACGCAATTAGCCTTCCCCTTAGATGCTGGCATCAGCCAGATGGGCTGGGCTAGGTCCAGTAAGCTTTCTTTAATCAGTAGAGTAATTTTTCTCCTTTTTTAGCCTCTAAGATGTCAAGAAACTTTGGTCTTTTCTGAACTATCATCAACTAAAGCCGTCCATTCCAAGACCCCTTGTCCTGACAGTGAGCTGGCAGCAACACAACCACAGGTGGACATGGGTGGACAGTCTACATGCCAAGAATAGTTTAACTCTCTTATTCCTCTTTTTCCTACACAGGTAGAGGAAGCTAGTAAAAATCATGCTAGAAAGTAGATAGAGAAAGCCTAAGGTAACATAACTTTCTCTGCTCCTGAAGGAATGAATTTATGCCCCTGTTCATAACAGTGTCAGGCCTGACTGATGCACTTTTCCAGAAATCAGACTTACTCTCTCAACTCAAAGGCAGGCCATTATGTCCTTGCTCAGAAAAAGTAGCTGCTCTTAAGATCATGATGGTGTCTATACCTGTCTCATGTTAACATATCATGGCTTCAGACATAAAGAGATTGAATAATTTGAATCAACAAACACTCTTCTAAGATGTGAACGGTGTTTTTCTCTTGTGTGGCAATGGTTTCTTAAGAGTAAAAAGTACTAGTATCTCTTTGAAAGTATGTCATAATGAAGCCTCAAATGGATTTGTACCATTTCCCAAATGTCTCCAAAGTATTCTTTTAAGGTTGAGATTGTAAAAGAAACTTGATACTGGGTGTAATCTGAGTGGAGGTCAAACTTTGCAATATATATATATTTTTAAAAAGCCAAGCCCACAAACTTTAATTAGAAATCAAATAAATTATCAAAACTATCATAAAAAAAAAGAAAATAAGTATAATACAGCAACTGGGGAGCCTTCAGTGGCGTTCTCTGAAAATCCAGCTGGAGTTTTATGCCTGGAGAATTTCTGCCCTCTACAGAAATGAAGGTATCAAGTCAATTGGAACTGTGCAACTCCTGTGTAGCCTCAATGCCACGAGTCACTACTGTGATGGAGCCCTCAGTCCTTTGCTGATTAACTATTGCTTATTCTTATGACTATTGCTTTTTTTTAAAAAAAAAAAAAAGTTATTTTCCAGGCTCTTTTGGCCTTTTCTTGCTTGGTGGACCTACAAGCCACTATTGCTGGGTGATGTACAATTCCTTTTACTCGGTGTCAATCTGTAAATTAGTTCATGGGTTGAATTATGCAAAGCATACATATAGCCACAAAATTTCACTTAAGGCAACACATCTATTCCTGGCTGTACGCAGGCTAAGACACGGAGCTTTGCGCATCTCAGCAGCTGTGCTGCTGTGGGTGGGTGTAGACGGTGCATGTACTGCTGGGTGAATCTGAAGCCTCCCTTCCTGCCCCTTCCCTTTGCACGATGCCAGTGCCTTCTTCTCCTGCCTGGAGTCAGCAACAACTACAGACGGCTCTGTCGGCTCTGCTGGATGCTGGAGGTCTTGGTGGGCTGCCAGACTGCCTAAGAGGCTGCTAAACACGTGAGCGCTGGCAGCCCTTGGAAAAGGGGGCCCAGAGAATATAGGAGTGTGTTTTGTGCAGTGCTGGGAGCCGTGAATTTCTTTGGGTGTACCAAATGTCTTCAGTTACATCATCCTAAACAGCTAACGGTGACCTAATTCACAAAAACCAATGAGTTTTAAAATGTAAAGCTCTCCTCCAGCCATATTACCTGAAATGTATTTTCTTTACCAGGCTTCGCTGTCTCCTGACAGAGAAACAAGAACAAAACCAGAATAGACTACAAATTTCCCCCTCTTCCCCAGAGGCTTGTAGCATACTAATCCTTCCATCGCCATTTGCGCTGCAGTTGCTTTTTTTTAATTTGTTTATTTGAGGAGGAGAACTAGCAGACTTTCAGGTCTTTGTGCCATAGAATAAGATAGGGACCTAACCATCCACCTTACTCAGTATTAAAAAACACATCACTTTTTAAACCAATTCTAAGTTTAGTGAAGTATTTTGAAAATAAGGCAGAAAGTTCAAAGCTTAGGGAAATTTAAATCCAAACACATTTAAATCCAAACACATTTCAGTATAGAAGTGCTTAATCCAAGTGCCTGGGTCTTGGTACTTGATACCTTTATTTTTACCTGAGTAAAATATTGCAATTACTGTATGTTAGCAGTTGAAGTATTTTACTGACTGTGATCTCACTCCAGTGCAACACTTTGAGTCTGGATTTATTTCTACTTTCTCTGAAATAAAAGTAACTTCAAACTGAGATATGATGGAAAACTTACTGCTTTTTATATATGAACTAATAAAATCTATGGGGTAAAGAAAAAATCCAGGTAATTTTTAGCTAAAATGTGACTAGTGTTTCAAATGTATATGACCATTTCTATAAATGAGATGGTTGGGGTCAGAGAAATCCATCCAGAGTGTGTGATTTCAGTTTGCTGAAGTATCACTGTAAAAAAATCACACATAGGAAGAACAGAATAAACTCTGGAGTGGTAAATCAGATTGTTATACATTTGTGGTGCTCTAGATTTTGCATTTGGATTTGTATTGAATTGCCTTTGCGGGTTGACTAGAAAACATGGAAAATGGCAAATAACCATGGCATCTTAAATGAGGTGCATGTGAAAGATGAACTGTTTTACTAATAAATTCTTCCAAAGTTAACTTGTGCTCTAAGAACTGTTGTAACAAAATTCTTAGTAAACTCTAGGCCATCCCCAGCATAGCCGTGATATCTGCCATCATAAGACAGAGAAAACATGCACGTCTTGTGTTCTTGAACATAGGAAAGTAAAGCTATTTAATATTGTTTGCCTCTCAAATGCTTAATTTGCTATACATCTTCATGTTTCTGCTATATGATGCTTACATAAGGGCAGAACTTGGTGCTGTTTAATAAATGCGTGCAGAAAATGAGATAAAATAGAGGCTGTAGGCAGCTGGTTTCAACTTATATCTAAACATGGCATTCAAATGTTAATTGGATGAATAAATCTTGTTCATTTTACAGACATGAAAATGTCACTAGAATAGAACTATTTATCACAAGATAATGGTCTCTGACACCTGATAAATGCCAAGAAGAAGCTACTTATTGAAAATGTATCAAAATATTCTATTGCTGTTTGTCAAAAACAAATATTGAGGCAAAATCGACATGCTTATTTTCAGTGGTTGACACTTGTATCTTGGCATAATTCTAACCTGACAGATAAAAACCTGGTTCAACAATGCCATATAAATGCAGCCCAACAAAAAAAAATATATAGGCAGGCATCTGCAGAGGGACATAGATTACCAAGGGACACTGAACTTCTGTCAGCAGAAATTTGTTCTTTGAATATTTTTCCATTCTCTCACAATGAATTATGTGCATTTACATGAAACAACTGATGATGGTATTATTTTGTGGTTTTTAATCTCTCTTGTCCAAGAACTGTTTTACAAAATTATTTCAACCTCACAATTTACAGCCAGAAAAGTAAGTTGTTGTTCCCATGTGACAGAGAAGAAAGCTGAACAGAGAGTTTGGGATAGTTTTATATGCTTATGTGGTCAGGATTTGGGCAATGCTGTTGAGAGGTTACAGCGCCAGGACTGGTTCAACCATATTTTGTTCTTTTTTTTTTTCACCCATCTGCCATAATTAGTATTTTCAGGTTTACATTTGGTGTTCCGTATGAAAGCCATATCTTGCTTGAGAGTTTTGAATGTGCTTGGTTGTTCTTATCTCTTTGCCCCCCCAGATGGTAGAGCTCTAAGCCTGGATGAAATCTGGAAAAGTGTTCATGCCTGCTACCAGGCTCGGCTGCTGGAGGGGCCCTGGGACACTATCACACAGCAGGTGAGAAACCACTCATCCTTTGCAAAACTGGTGAATGCAATATGTGTGGGAATCCTCAGTGCTCTTGTTCCCTCCTGGAAACAACCAAAATATACTGAAGTCCAACTGAGGCTATGCTGAGCCAGTTACCAGCATACTTTTATTTTTAAAGATGTGTCGGTGTTCACCTTAGAAGACCAAATATGGCAATCTCACTCATTTAAAATACTTTTCCTAAGTTAAACCTGAAAAAATTGGTGATGAATATTCTTTGGTTTGGGAAAATATGGGTTTAATAGTAAACTTCCCTAAGTAAAATATGTTAGTAGTATGGTAGCATTTCACAGACTGCCTATGAATTAAATTACCAAAAAGACTGTGTAATTTTTAGTCTTAAGTAGACCTGCAATAATCTTCGGGATTAAAGGAAAGAAAATTATTCTGTCTGTCAAATATTATTGCTGACTAATGTGCTTAAGAATAAGTAGTGAATGAACACAAGAAAAAACAGATGAGTAGACAGTTTGTTATGTTACTGTCTTCTTTTAGAGTTAATCAAATAACTTCTATTGAAAGTGGTCAAAGTCATGATAGCTGTTTCAAAAACAGTCGTATTTGCGCATAGAAAGAGTGGGGAATGGCTTGGAGATGAGCTGGTTGCTCCGAGTTCCTCCCTGGGCTCCAGGCCTCCAGTGCAACTTTGGAAAAAGAACAGAGAGTCTCTAGGTCCAAGTTTTCCGTTGTCAGATGTAGATAAGGTGGTCTCTTTTCTTCCTACCCCTTCCATTCTTGTCTTCCCCATCTTAGCTCTTTTCAGCAAATAGCAAATTTGGTTTCAGGAAAATAGCAATTTATGATGGCACAATATGGAAATAACCCCAAGTGAGATCTGTTTAGAGGTATTTCCAGTGAAAAACTATTCCTTGTACTACAGAAGCTTCTTGAGAACCTCATAGGCATTGAGGGTCTGATGTTTACTGGGCATTTCTAAGCGTGACTGTGAGCTTGCAGATTCTTTCTTAATACTTGCCTTTAAATAAACTATCAATTATCTATCTTGCCTTATGCAGAATTAACATCAGCAAATTAGATTTTAGTAAATTGGAAATGGGTAAATAACTTTCTCCACAATAAGATATTGTAGTTTAGATTTAAAGTTTTGTGATTTATAGCTGAAATAGATGACTTTTACTTACAGCTAAAACATGCATAGAAACTAATATATATGGTATATAGCAAAAATGGCACAGAAAGACTATTCATTTAACCCTTCACTACATGCATGTTTTTTCGCTTGTAGTACACAGAGAGCAGTGACCCTGCTATCAGCTGCTAGGACTCCTTTAGGGCTAACATCTCTGGTATTTTCAGCAGAGCTGTTGTAGCTCGTGGGTAGATTGTACTCCCACCTGCAAAAGTGCCTCGGAGAACCTGCAGCGTGTACTCCAGCAGCCCCCTTCTCCGTGCTCTCCCACGTTCTCCTGTGGCCTGAAGCCACATTCAGACTCACTCGCTGTCTGTCTGCAAAGCACTACAAGAACCTGTGACTTGCTGTAGGTAATAAATCATAATATAGTACTGCTGAGAATAAAACAAAGAATTTGTGTGGAATGTATAAAATCAGAGTGATGGAAGCTAAAAAGAAAACCAGGTCACTCCCACCCAGAGATTATTTTTACCTCTTAAGGAGCAGTAATATAAAACTGTCCTGCATCTAATAGTTGAAGATGTGTATGAGACACATGCATCCAGAGGCTTGCAGAAACAGGTTTGGTGAGTGGTAATATGTGTGGTATGCTGAACCTATAGTCTCTGTGGCACCTCTCCAGAGGCAGGTCAGCCGCTGTGAGCACATCAGCAAACAGAAATGAAGGTATCAGTGAAAATGTTTTGTAGAATTGAATACAGTTATAGCAGTAAAATACTACAAAGTGTAACATTAAGCTGCGTTTCTGTTTTTAAAAAAATGAGATTACAGACTAAGTTTAACTGTTTCTCCCAGAATAAGAAGTGTGTGCCGAAGGCTGATGGCATAGTTGAGGCTGCTGGCAGGTAGCAGCTAGAGAAGTTAAGATCTCCCAGTAATTCCATTACATAATTATTTAGCTTTATTTCTACGTCTTTCATGCTATCAATAGGTTTGTGTGTAGTTGCTTCTCTCTGAAGACCTGGTACCTGTGGCTTAAGGCCGTTGAATTTCAGCTCCTTCAGTGGGGCTAGCCTGCTCTACATCGGTATTGAACCTGATCCAAAGGCCACAGCTGCATTCCTGGTTTGGAAATGTGCTTTCCCACATGGCTGCAAGAGAGCGCCTCCGGTAAACTAGCTTTAAGAGGTCTACAGTTTTAATTTTAGATGAAAGCAGAAAGGCAGCAGGCAACGAGGGTGCATTTGCTCATGGTCATTCAGGCAAGTGATAGGAAGACAAAGGGAATGCAGAGTGTGTGGAAGTGTTCGTCTCTGGAGCTGAATCGGAGAGCAGGGAAAGCACCAGCGCGATCAGCAGTGCCAGGCATGTGTTCAGTGCCAGCAACCACTGCTATAGCAAACACTTTCCCTTGTAAATTGAGAGATACATATGTCAGATCAAATACAAAACAGCAGTAAAAATCAGCGTATTCTCAAAGGAATTAGAGAAGATAATAAAAACATACTGTAAACAGTAGCCTGCAAGGCTCAAATCAAAACAAGAGTTAGGTCCACGAGTTTTTTTCTCCCCTCCAAAAAGATAAGAATTCTGAACTGAAACAGAGAATTTTTTTCTTCCCCTTTTGCTTTTCGGCTGACCCATTTTGCTATATGGGTTAGGCTTGGCCCCCAGGGACACAGATTGTGTAGTGGAAGTCATTGGGCAAACTTACCAAATCAGGCTTGAACTCTCAGTATGTATGAACAGCAGTCAGAGAAAGTTTAGGATACCCAAAATAGAGCAAAAAAAAATTAAATTCTGCAAAGAATTCACTACAGGGAAGAAAATTTGAGCAAGGCACAGTAAATGCACAGTGTCACTTAATTTTTAGGTAGAGCTGACTTTGTATTTTGATTCAATAGTTAGCAGATCATTAGGAAAATAAAAGCACACTGAGGTGCTGTTTTATCCCACAGTTTCAGTAGCCTGTTCTAATCTTTTGGAAACTGCATTTTGTGAAATGTGGGTGCTCTGCTTATGCACTTTTGTGATACAACTGTATTTTGGCTTTTACGCTGTACCCTAAAATACATCTGAGATCAGGAACTGAGACACTGGTTACACTCCAAAAAGCTTAGCATTAGTTGCCAATATGATTTACAATACTAAAGTAATATTTTAACTTTTTTGTTACTTTTTATTATTGTGGAAAGTCACGCTTATTTTCAAAGGCAGCATCTTCAAACATGTTCTTCAAATATTTTTCCTGGCTAGATTATTTTTATTGCATTAAGCAGAAGTCAACTAGTTACTTTTCATAAATAAATTAATATGATAAGGCTGCATAGTATTTTATAATGATAGCTGATAAATGGTGATGATTTAATTGCACTTCCTCTAGTAATAATCTTAAAATGCTTAAATGAAGTTCCAGTGATTGGCTTTCTTCTGTGTTAAATCTCCCTAGAGCCTTCAGTCATCCCTTTCCTACATCCGGTGATAACTTGCTTTAGCTGTTTTAAATAATACAAATCAATTATAACACACAGCTGTTTAACAAAACTTCTAAATGTTGCTACAGGTCTCTGTGGGTATTTCCTGATGGCTTATAATGATATCAATTTAGTATACCTGGTAAGATCTGTGTGAGATGGAAGTAGCTTAATTCTGCATTGACAGGAAAATTAAGGAGTATTTATGGATTACTGTTGCTTTTCAGAACTGTTGCCAACTCTGATTTTAGCTTCTTTTGCAAAGAATTAGGAAGAGAGTTGAGACATTGCCTGCCTGTGTCCTAAGTAGTTTATCTGGAGTGTGGCGAGGCTTTCGAGGATACCCGAGATATCTGTTGCACGAGAATATCTCTATCCCTTTTTGGATTAATGGATGCTAGAAGAGCACTCTGTACAAGAAGCGCCTTCCAAGTCTCCTTGTAACCTTTCTTGAACTGCAAAAAATGGAGCTTTCCCTGGGCCCTCCCTTGAATTCTCCCTTTCCCTGTAAATTAGGCTGCAGCCCCAGCCCTGCGTCCCATGTGGCAGTGCTCTGGGTAACCTCGGGGCTGCCAGCCCTCACACTGCCCCATTCCTCTGCTCCCCCGTTTCTAAATTGTTTTTTCCCTAAATGGTATTGCTTTTTGGAAGTATTTGTTGAGCCAGCTACATATCTGCCTTGATAGTAAATAAAAATCTAGCTGTTTGAGGGAGGGGGACAGAAAATAGGTATGCTAAAGTGGGAGAATTTGTAATAGACTGAATATAAAAATGAGGCTAAGGATCCTGGAGATACTTCATTTATTAATGGAAGATAAAGAAAGGAAAGGAAAAGAGTCTAGAAAAGAAAAAAGATGAAATAAGTCATTATGGGAATAGATGGATGTAAGAGAGTCACGTGTTTGATACTCTGATATTCAGCAAGGAGTCCAGCATGGTTTTAGGTAAATGCAGAGTGGCATTGTGTAACATGTCTCCGATACAATGATTCGTCTTTGTGTAACTGAACAACATATCTACCACATTAAATTCTAGATATGATTTTACTAGAGACACAGTGAGTTGGCAGCAGTCCAAAAGTGCCATAGTGAGATGCTAAATGGCAAGACAATTTAAAGGAAAAAGGAGGAAAGAACACAAGAGGAAGAAAAGGTTCAAAAAACAGAAAGGAAAAGAGAGAACAGATTTCAAATGAAGGAGGAGAAATATTATAGATTGTAAAGGCAAACATACCTTACCACAGAGTAATGTATAATTTAATAACTAGCAATGTAAAAAAAAAAATGCTACAGTTTTTCTCTAAAGGCTATATTTTACCTTTTATCATTTTGAAAATCTTTCCCAGCATGAATGGATACATACAGCATTTGAATGTGATTATATGTTTATAGCCATACCTT